AAACTCAAATTACAATCTTAATTAGTGAGACCCCCCTGGGTAACTTGAATTATCAGTTTTGCCCTTTTAATTTCAATTTTCCTAATCTTCTCCTTCTTCCACTCACACCCACAACAACCGCCGTTTTATCTCTTCCCCTCTCCCTCTCTTCATCTCTCGTTCTCTTCGTCTCTCTAACTCTATCGCCAAAAAAAAAAAAAAAACCAGAAAAGTCTCCGGCGACGAACGGAGAACAAGTCCAAGAAGAGCATCGACTCGGTGTTTTTTTGTGCTGCAAGTTATGGATAAGGCGTCGCTTATCCATAAAAGTCTTTCTCGGTAGATCTGGCCCCGACGAAGAAGATGCACAACAGATGGGGGTTGATGACGGGCGGCAGAGACTTGGGAAGGTATTCTCTGTTAAAATAAAACAAATCATCTTTTAATTAATGTAAGTTTTCTTCTGCTTAAAGCTTAGGCTTTAAAAATAGGGGAAATTGGCTGTATACCCCTCATTCTCGACTTATATAGGTGGAGATCCTAACTGTTAGATGAATATAGGTCTAGATCCTTTGATAAAAAAAAATAATATAAATAAAATAAAATAATTAGTACATTGACATAAACACCCTTAATTAAAAAGAAAGTAAATCCCATATATCACTCTCCCTCTCTCTACAATCTTACGTATATTCCCCCCCCCCCCCCCCCTATATCTAATCTCTCATATCTCTCTACCTCTCTATCTCGGGCCTCTCCATCGGGTTTCTCTTCCGTTCTGTTTTTTTTCTTTCGAAAAGCATCTTTCGAAAAAAAAATCTGATCAATTTCTTACTCCCTCCCCTTTCTCGATTCCGATATTCTTTCTTCCTTGTTGAATCCTGCCATAGCTAGAACTTTCAACAAACTATAAACAAATATTTTTCGTTTGTTTTTTGGTTGTGGGATATGTTGCTTGTTCTATGTTTGGAAAAATCGTTTGCTATTTTGGAGACCTTGTTTGTTGTTTGTATTTAATTTCTACTTCTCCAGTTGTTACGATGGAAGGCAATTCATGAGATTCTCGCCCCAATCTTGGGTGATGGTTCTACGGCAATCGATCCATGAATTTTGATGCACCTCTTCACCGTTGTTCGGAATCCACCATCTGCTTCGTCCCCAACAATATCTCCGTCTCGGTCCCTACCATTCTCGCCGAGAGCTTTGACTGGTTAAGAATGGCGGCAAGGGATTTGGGGTGAGCACCTCGATTTTTTTTTCTTTAATTGTTTTCATTTTGCATTTTGCAATTTAGTGTTACATATTTTTTCTCGTTTCCAATTTTTTCTTCAGTTTGATGTTTGTATTTGGTGAAGTCATAGGTATTCATTTTTTTGCAACTCAATAATGCAAATTCTGGATTTTTTTTTTCCAGTTTGCTGTTTTCTGGATGAATCATTGGTATTTTGTTGTTTGCAACTCAATAATGCAAATTCTGGATTTTTTTTCCAGTTTGTTGTTTTCTGGATGAATCATTGGTATTTTTTTTTTTGCAATTCAATAATACAAATTCTTAGTTTGCTATTTAAAGTTCACAGAATCATAGGCGTCATTTGCTATTTGCAGTTCACAGAGTCATAAGCGTCAGTTTGCTATTTGCAGTTCACGACAGACGGAGACGGTGTCGATTTTAGAGTATGAGAGTTTGTACAATAAATAGTATTTTTTTTTTTTTTACTAATTTATTTAATTTTTTTGTTAATATTTGCAAGAGAGATATTTGAAAATTTGTTTTGATAGAGAGATTTTTAGGGGATTTGATTTGATTTAGTTAAGGGTATTTTTGACATAATAAATATTATTAATTTATTAAAATATAGAAATTTTGATTTGGATTTATACCTATGCTGCACGGACACTTCTAGAAGGTGAAGAGTCCTCGTATCTGACACCTGGACACTCGGACACATCCGGACACTTCTCGGACACCCGTGTCGGGCCGTGTCGTAATTTCGTTAAAAGTAGGACACCCGTGTCGGGCAGTGTCCACAATTTTAAAAAAGTTGGGACACTTCTCTTAGAGAGAGCCCTAATAAAAAAAATGCGCATTTTCTTTTATTTGTAATACACATTTTCTCTGTTTCCTTTGTGACTCCACCCAAAACTCCAAAAGTCTAGCATGCGACGGCGACCAAGAACCCGAGCAACAAGGGCGAGGGGTTCTCTTATGCGATGACGACTTATACATATGGGAGACAATTTATAATGGTACCCCTATATTTTTATTATTTATAAATATACCCCTATATTTTTTATATTTACGCGTATCCCCCGCGTGTCCGTATCCTAGTTTTTTGTAAATGCCGTATCACCGTGTCCGTATCTGCGTATCGCCGTGTCCACGTATCCGTGTCCGTGCAGCATAGATTTATACACATAAATTATAATATAGAGGGACCTCAAGAAAATTGCCCCTTAAAAATAAGCCTGTAAAATTGGCATGGCATGCCAATTGTTCAACAGTAGAAATATTTTGGACTCCAATATTGAATGGGGTCAGGTTATTTGGAAATTAAACATATCTTTGGTATATATGATATAGTACTTAGACAGTGGTAGATCTTGGCCTTAAAATTGTTTTATCTGTAAATCTCTTTTTTGGTTGATGGAGAGCTCAAACTAGATCTACTATTTCTTATTCAAAAAAAAAAAAAATTCAGATATACTGCATTTTTTAAGATCTGTGAGCAATTAATATTAAAAAAAATTCCTTTGGATTAATTTGAATTTTTATTTTGTTTGATTCTTATGTTGTTCATTTTTTTTATAAATCATATGTCTTTTATTTTTCGTATTTATTTGAAGATGATCCGAAATGCCTCAAGTGTGAGAGCTCTGTTTGCCTGTAGTAGAAACTTAATCAGTAGCAGTTACTTAGATCGGTGATTTGGGTCAAGTGAATATACATTTATATGTAGTCATATACAGTCATATATGTAGTCATGCATAGGTATGGATACATATAATTATACATGACTATAGAACTTAGGCCAAGTGAATATACAGTTATACAGTTATATACATGTGAAATGGTTTCTACGTTATTGTTTTAGTTTCCTCTCTTTCTTTGGTTGGGGGAGGGCTCAAATCAGATATACTATTTTTTAGTAAAAAAAATATCAGATCTACTATGTTTTTTAAGATCTGTAAACAATTAATATTAAAATCTTTTTCTTTCAATTAATTTGATTTTTTTTATTTTTTTGATTCTTATGTTGTTCATTTTTGTTATAAATCATATGTCTTTTATTTTTTGTATTTATTTGAAGATGACCCGAAATGCCTCAAGTGTGAGAGTTATGTTTGCCTGTAGTAGAAACTTAATCAGTAGTGGTTACTTAGATGGGTGATTTGGGTCAGGTGAATATACAGTAATATGTAGTCATATACAGTCATATATGTAGTCATGTATAGTCATGGATACATATAACTATACATGACTATACAACTTGTAGTATACTATAATCATTTGTAGTGGATTACAGTACAATAAATTTAAAAAAAATCATGTTTTTTTTGTATTTTTCATGTAATCTAACTCGCATGTTCTATTTTACTCTTTTTTTATGCAAAGAATAAGACGCAGAGAAGTGCCATGTGAAGTTGCATTAATGCTACAGTACTCCAGACTTATGCCACTTATATAACTATAGATAATTGTAGATAACTATAGTCACGTGTAGTAACATATATGTATATGTATGCTATGCGCTTTTTAATGTATAGTAATGCGTGTTCATGTTTTGAAGATTATATGCACGTGATTGTGTTTTTTTTTGTTAGTTAATTTATAATATCAAGATTAAAATTCTGACATTTGTTGTTGGTGTAGATTAATTTTGGGATAAAAAAACATTACATGATTACATATAAGTTATAACTAACTATACATGATTGTGGTATACTATAGTTAGGTGTAGTATACTATAGTCATGTATAGTCAATTTCAGTACAGTAAATTTATCAAAAAAAAATTATAAAAATTATAAAAAAAATACAAAAGAGGGTATGTATAAAAAATAATAAAAAAATATACATTTATATTTTTTATTTAAAAAATCTATAAAAATAATAAATGCAGGCCCAAAAATGTTAAATGCAGTTGGGCATTGTACTAAATGCAGAAATGAAAATACTAATGCAGTTGGGCGAAAATTGCACTTAAGGGCACAATAGTACTTTTGCCTCTTCAGGAGTGTATCTCAAATGAAAATTTTTAGGGGTGGACCTATCCCTATATATTTTCTATTCTAGGTGTGTATATCAAATGGCCCCATATATTTATATAAAAAAGATCTTCACATTTAATAATTTTCCACTCATATTTCAGCTGTTTTTACCAAAAAAAAAAAAAAAAAAAAAAAATTAATTATTGTTAAAATAAGAAAGAAAGTAAAAACATGTGATTAAATCAATGGACAGCTCTTGGAGTTGGGAGCCATGAAAGAAAGTTCGTTCGTCTTCTCTTTGAAATTCTATTCAACTCTGGTGGGCTTACAATACAAACCCTCTTCTTTCTTCTTTCTTCTTTCTTGTTCACCATCACCATCATCAAAACCCAATCACTATTCACCTTTTTGACTACAAGAGTAAACGAAAGCTTGACCGATTCTCTCACTACTGTTATCATCTTCTCTCACTAAGTTCTTGATTTCTTTCGCCATGGGGCAATCTGACTGTGTAGGTTTTTGCAGAATCTGACCCATGCCCATTTCCTTTCGGGTAAGCCCGTATTCGATTTTCTATTTGGTTTCCCGATTCTTGATTAGAAAAGAAATGGGTTCTTGATTTTGTGTTTTCTGTGTAAGAAAAAAATAATTAAAAAAAAGTGGGTTCTTGATTTTGTGATTTCTGTGTAAGAAAATAAATAAAAAATA